GGTGTCTCTCCGGTTGCATGTCCGTCGCATTCAGTGCTGCAGCACTTTGATTAGATACTGTGATCTAGTTTTTAACCAGAGAGCTTATCCTAGCAATCATCAAAACAACCTTCCTGTCTAATTTCCAGAATATTTGGATCAAAACTGCAGCCACTAGATTGTTAACAAGATTTCTCTATTTTTAGCTCCTGTGACCTAGTTTTTGACTGGAATTTACCCATATTCGAACTTGACCTAGAAATCATCAAAACAACTTTCCTGATTAATTTCCAGAATATTTGGATCAAAACTGCAGCCACTAGAATGTTAACATGGTTTTTGTATTTTTAGCTCCTGTAACCTAAGTTTTTGACCCGAGATGACCCATATTCGAAGCTGACCTGTATTTCATTGAGACGAAAATTCTGATAAAGTTTGATTATGATCCAATCAAAACTGTGACTGCTAGAGTGTTAACAACCCAAATGTTGACAACACATAATGCCGGACATAGCCCCATCACTATACCTCACCTTGACCACTTTGTGGTCAGGTGAGCTAATGAAAAATGAAAGACCACAGTAATATCTGATTAATTAAAATTTAAAATATGCATTCAAAGGAGTAAAGTTACAACACATAGTAATTTTTTTTCACATTTGACTTAATAATAATCCTCTTTTAAACAAGGGCAAAAGGGTTGATCACGGCAAATAAAACTAGAACTATCACTAAATGTGATTAATACCTCTGCAAGACTGCTTCCGAAATGAGGAAGTTACAAGTTACAGAATACCTTGTAAAAGAATAGAAATAGAGTTATGGTTGTGGGCAATTATAAAGATAGTTGTGGTTCTTGTATGTTGCATTTCGTTTCAATGTGGTTGACCATTGATGAAGTTTTATTTAATTACTCTGTAATAAATCCATAAAGAGTTACACTTCTTGAGCACTGCACTTCCTATCATTGCACTTGACCATTGTATGAAGTTGCATTGAATTCTAAACATTAGTTTTAAGTTATGCACCGGACAAGGAAAAGGAACAAAGGGCAATAACTCTACAAATACTGTAGATGGAGTTATGGTTATTGTTCACTGCACTTCCTCTCATTGCGCTTGACCATTGTATGAAGTTGTATTGAATTTTCAAGTTATGCACTGGACAAAAAAGTAACAAAGGGCAATAACTGTAGTTAGTCCAAATAGTTATGGTTCTTCTCCAGAGCACTTCATCTCACTGCCCTTGACCATTGTATGAAGTATCATTTAATTCCAACCATTAATTTTCATGTTATTCACTGGACAATAAAAAGTAATAAAGGGCAAACTCTTAAATGAGTCAAGAAAGAGTTATGGTTTCTGTGCGCTGCCCTTCCTCTCAATATGCTTAACCATTGTATGAAATTGTATTGAATTCCAAATAGTGCAGACAGGGCCAATTTTGACCCCAGGACCATTATTTGCACAAACTTAGTAGACACCCACTTGAATATGTTTCATGCTTTATATCTAAGCTCTAGCTATTTAGGCTTTTTAAAAGATTACTTTTTTAAGTTTTTACAATATACATATAAAGAAAATCAATGATCCCCAGGGTGGGCCAATTTTAAACCAAGGGCCCTCATTTAAAAAAAAAAACAAGAATATCTTTGAGGGTGATGGATGCTCACCCTACCTATATATTTGTTAAGAAATTCTATTCACAATATAAATTCAACAAGCAAATTCGTTGAATTCATATCCCCGCTGAGTACTGGTTAGTACTAACACAACAACTGAAAGCATAAGGCTTTATTTATATATTTATCATGGCATAAACAGTAATATTCTTTATACATGATAAATATGCAGGGCAATAACAGAACCATAACTCTGTGTTAAAAAGTAATATCTGGACATGCCAATGAGATGTAAATTGCCTTTTTGTACCGATGGTTGCCATAAAGTTTTGTTGAAATCAATACAGTAGTTGCAAAGAAATAGCAATATTGCTCTATATGCATACGATATAACTAATCAAGGGCCATAACTCTGTAATGAAGGGTCAGGTCTGAACAAGGCATCTATATGCACATCTGCTCTTGGTATTAATGGTTTCAATTAACTTTAATTGAAGTCCAGCCAGTAGTTGCAGAGAAGTAGTGCGGAAACAATTATTGGTCTGCTATATGCATACTGCATAACAAATCAAGGGCCCTAACTCTCTGACTTAAAGTGTCTGACCGGAACAGGGCCATGATATGCGTATCGCCTCTTTGTATTGAAGGTTCAAACAAAGTTTGCTCTATATGCATACTGTATAACTAATGAAGAGCCATAACTCAGTGTTAAAGTGTCTGACCGGAACAAGGCAACGATATGCGCATTTCCTCTTAATATTGAAGGTTCCTATAAAGTTTTGTTGAATTCCAGCCAGTAGTTGCAGAGAAGAAGAGTGGATACCATTATTCCTCAATATGCATACTGCATCACTAATCATGGGTCATAACTCTGAGTTAAAGGGTCTGACCACAACAAGCAGATGATAGACGAATCTCCTCTTGATATTGATAATTACCACAAAATTTTGTTGAATTCCAGCCAATACATGCATAGAAGTAGCACCGAAACGATTATTGCCCTATATGCATACTGCATAACTAATCAAGGGCCATAACTCTAGGTTAAAGTGTCTGACTGGAACAAGGCAACGATATGTGCATCTCCTCTTAATATTGAAGGTTCCCATAAATTGAAGTTTCATTGAATTCCAGCTTGTAGTTGGAGAGAAGTAGTGCGGAAACGATTTTTTTGCTCTATATGCATACTGCATCACTAATCAAGGTCCAAAACTCTGAGTAAAAGTGTCTGACCCGAACAAGAAAACGATATGTGTATCTCCTCTTGATATTTAAGGTTCCCATGAAGTTTCATTGAATTTGTGCCATTAATTGCCATTAATTGCAGTGAATTAGCGCGGAAACGAATTTTGATTTTTGCATACTGCATTACTACTCAAGGGCCCTAACTCTGAATTAAAGTGTCTGACCAGAATAAAGCGACGATATTCGCTTCTCCTGTTTAAATTGAAGGTTCCCATAAAGTTTCATAGAATTACAGCCAGTAGTTGCAGGGAAATAGCGAGTAATTTTCAAGGCGACGATATTCGAATCTCCTGTTTAAATTGAAGGTTCCCATAAAGTTTCGTTGAATTCCAGCCAGTAGTTGCAGAGAAGTAGCGCAGAAATGATTTTTGCTCTATAGGCATTCTTCTTAACTAATCAAGGGCCATAACTCTGAGTTAAAGGGTCTGACGGGACCAAGCCGACGATATGCGCATCTCCTTTTGATACTGATGATTCCCATAAAGTTTCGTTGAATTACAGACAGTAGTTGCAGAGAAGAACTAGTGAGGACTCGAAATTCAGACAGACGGATGGACGGACGTACCAACATTTGATATTTAAGAGGCAAATAAGCTCATTAACTACACCTGGACGTAAGTCCATAAGCTCATAAAAACAAACTAGATTGCATTTGTGAAAAATGCTATGCCACCACATTAGTAAAACACTAAATAGTAATGTAGGAACAGAATTATTTTGTTTCTATACAAATGAAGATTGCCATAATGCATATCACTGACCTATCTTAAATTCTTATTATTAGATTAGTGGTTAAATCTATTATTATTCAAATAAAAGATCAGAGTAGGAATCTATCAATGCAGTTGAGTCTAGTGAATTTTTCACATGGCCAAAATTCCATGACTGTACATCAAGGGACAACACAGTTAGACACTTTGTCAAAATCTAGGCCAGCTGATATCAAAGTTCACTATACATCTTAATATGTGCACATGGTTCAAATTTCATAGCTGCACATCAAAGGACTAAAAAGTAGGTCACATCATCAAAATCTAGGTCAACTGATATCAAAGTTCAATTTAACAAATAACAAGAGCCACCGTGGGGGGGGCGGGGGTGACAACGCTCGACTTTTTACTTTTTCGAAAAGCAAACAAACAAATCTTAACGTTTGTTTTTATAAATTTAATATGTCTGTCTTGTCACATTCGTTTTGTCTATATATTTTGTATATATAAATACTCATTTATACAGTACAGATATCGAGGAATATGCAAAATCCTCCGAGGATCGAGGAAAACACTCGCAACTCCGCGAGAGTATTTGTCCATAAAAACGAGTGACTCCGCGTGAGAAACGTGTGATGAGAGTGACTCCGAGACGAAAATAAAAGCGCTTGACTCCGTGAGAGAATTACCGCGTAACTCCGTGTCGGTGTCTAGCTGGTGTAAATAAATGCAAGTGCAATCTCATTTTATATTTAATTTAATTCTTTAGATTACCATTCGAAAATAAAGATGATTTTTACGGTTATTGTTTTCAATTTACCCTGAAACAGTTGAAAGGTACATTTGATTAGAAAAAATCACTACCGTAAGCGTCACCAGTTCTCAAGTTTATTTTTATCCCGATTAATTAGGTCAGTAGCAATAACCACAGGAACCCGAAATTCTATCAAAAACAAAAAAGCGATTTAAAAAATCCATATAATAACGGCCCAACTTTTTTATACTTCTTTAAGAAATGAATTAATTATATAAACTTCTTAATCTTAAATGTTTCTAAATGCATCAAATACCGATAACATGCCGTTCTTATTTATTTCAGGTGCCAAATATTGTGTTGTGTTTTCTTTTTTCAATGTGGAAAATGAGTTTCGATCTTCATAATATTTTAATCATTGATAACATGTGCACATCAAAAAAATTGACTTTCCCAACTTTTATTTTGGTTTGTATAGTTTTAAAAATTGTCATGATGTGCATGTACGTTTCTTCATAATCCATTGTTTACATGTATTTTAGTTACGTGTCAACCTGTCACATCCGCCGTTTTAATTAGAAGACACTTGATTTATATAATTTTTGAAAATTAACATTAACTTAATCGTTTCTAAATAAAGCTGCATAAAAATTAGTAATATATTGTTGTAATTTTATTCCAAGAATATCTCCGAAAATCTGTCGGTCTCATTCTGTTATCAAAGTCATATGTAGATGTATGTTGATATTGGAATCAAAAGTAAATTGTCTTGTGATGATCATTAATAAATTAAGATTTTTGTTTTTTATTTCAGGCATTATGGAGGAATTCAAGAGTTATAGAGGTGTTAACAAGTTGACAGAGGCCGTTCAACTTACCTAGCGCACTGCTCCCGTAATTCATTCACCTGTAATCAGCATTACAAAGATTGACAAAAAATAAAAACAGCAAAGAATAAAATGATCATTTTATTTGTCTTTTTGTTTTATTTGTTTATGGTTTGTACATCATCTATATCATGTCATTTTATAAAAATAAAAAACAGTTCTGACAAAGATTAAACTACTTCCGATTTCACGTATATGTACTGTTCATAGACGATAAAACAATATTTTTATAATAGCATATGAACATATTTGATCGTCACAGCAAGCGGGCATGCATTGTACATGTACGTATGTGGATTGAAAAATACCGCCATGCCTTTATAAAGTCACTGCCAATCTCAATGTTCTTGTTTTATAATTCATGGCTTTATTTTTGAGACGACGCAGCGCCTGTTGTTTTCCCCCTGCAAACATCGGTAGAATTTCATAAATGAATTCCTTAATGTTGTCCTTCCTTGTGCTGCCAACGTCGGTAGAATTGCCTAGCAGATCGAACTTCTTAACTCTGTTCTATATTGTTCTGAAAGCAATAGTAAAATAAATTTAAACATTAATGTTAAAAGCAGGTCTGTACATGCCGACATAGGGTGTCGCTGTTTTGGCTAGTGCATTGTATGGAATGATGTATAATATCTCGTATTTCACGGATTTTTTATCAACCAACAATTAAAAGGAGACGTACATGTACTTCACATGGAAATCAGTTTGGTATCTTTTATGTAACTGGTACAAATTTATCTAAAAGCCTGACAATTACCTTTTTCAGAAGTTTACTTTCCAAGGCAGATGCATTTCACTGAAGAATACTTTGTAAACTGTCTTAAAGAAAATGTTGTTTTTTATTCAGTTCTGGTACAAAGTATAATTTCCCTTACGATAGTATGTCAATGAAATGAATCGACCTAAGCACGTGGTTGTTTGGCCATTATTTCCTTCTTTTTTCTTCTTCTTTTTTTGCTTACATAATAATTATAAATTTGTATAAACAATGCAAAAAATAATCTATATTTTCTTATTTTAGAATACTAAATTAAATAGGTTTTTGACACTGAGCGTTACGGGAATTGCGGGAAATCATCGGTTATTCTTTCCTTTAATTAATTAATGAATCAAGTGTGTCTACTTTCGTTTTCACTTGTAATACTTTACATCAACAAAGAATTTTCGACAACATTGTTATTTTGAATGAATAATACATGCGTTGAAGGATTTTATTTTAGAGGTAGAGCATTAACTAATTAATAAATAAATAAAGCATAAGTGTAAATCTGTCTTATTTTCTCGGAGTCACTCTTTTTACTTGGAGATTCACGGAGTCCCGAGGACAAAATTGTCACTCGTTTTTGTCTCGGAGTCACTCTTTTTCACCCGAGAAATTTATAATCCACTCGGAGTCACGCTTTTTGAGATTACTCGATACTCGCAGAAATTTGCATATTCCTCGATATCTGTACTGTATATATATATATATATATATATATATAATATATATATATATATATATATATATATATAAATAGCAACACGCAATTCTATAAATTGAACCCGCAATTCTATAAATAGAAACACGCAATTCTATAAATAGAAACACGCAATTCTATCAATAGAAACACACAATTCCATAACTAGAAAATTCTATAAATAGAAACACGCATTTCTATAAATAGAAAATTCTATAAATAGAAACATGCAATTCTATGAATAGAAACATGCAATTCTATAAATAGAAAATTCTATTAATAGAAACACGCAATTCTTTAAATAAAAAAATTCTATAAATAGAAACACTCAATTCTATAAAAAGAAACATGCAATTTTATAAATAGAAACACGCAATTCTATAAATAGAAACATGCAATTCTATAAATAGAAACATGCAATTCTATAAATAGAAACACGCAATTCTATAAATAGAAACACACATTTCTATAAATAGATACACACAATTCTATAAATAGATACACGCAATTGTTGTTTTGTTGTTGATGATGAAGATCATCATCTATATATATATATATATATATATATATATAAAGGGAGATAATTAAATTCAATACAGTTATACATTCCCCTGTGTGGGATCACTTAAGATACAAGTGTGCAGATAAATTGATAGAAATGAGAGAATATATACACACATACCACCACATCTATATATATGCCAGTCCAATTACGGCACAGCGCCTAACAGAACAGTCATGAAAGCATAGCCACTGCTCATCCACCATCACAAAAATGATGGTTTCAGAACAGCTTTATATACAGTCACAAACTGCACTACACATTGAAACAAGTTCAACATTCACATATATAGAGTTTGTTCTCTGTTATCATATCTCACAAATCAACGATGACATTTTTATTGTCTTCTTCACTGATTGGGACCAGAGAACTATATATCTATTTCCGAAAGTCAACTGGATCCCGTAAGATCAAGTAGATCCGTAGGATACAATGAATTTAGACAGATAAAGTATATATAAAGGGAGATAATTAAATTCAATACAGTTATACTTTATAATAATGTTTATATACACACACACACCAATGGTCATTTAATGCACAAATCTGAGAAAATTCAGTAATTTAACCTTCAAGGTCAAGGTCATTAAAGAGCCCAAGTCAATTTGGGTTTGATATACAACAAGGTCTTATCCTTAAGAATGTTCTGTTATAATATGAAGTTGATCCCTTCAATAATAGCAAAGTTACAGCCAGTTACAGCCAAAACAATGAAAATTTCAATAATTTGACCTTCAAAGTCAAGGTCATTAATGAGTGAAGGTCAAGGTCTGTCTGGTTATTTTTAAGGGTTATCCTTGAAGATTATTATGTTCAAGTTTGAAGGCAATCCATTCAAAAATAACAAAGTTACAGCCAATTATAGCCAAAAAAATGAAAATTTCAATGATTTGACCTTCAAAGTCAAGGTCATTACAGTAGGGTGAACGTTTCAGTTTACACACAAAACGCACGCTCCGGAAAAAACGCATGCACGTTACACGCTATATGAAAGCACGTTACACGCACGCTTTACGAAATGAAATACCCAGACGCACGCAAAACGATATACGCTAAACGAAATACGCTAAACGATATACGCACGCTAAAACGCACGCAAAATAAAAAACGTTTCTAAACGTTTCATAAAATATCCTTATCATAAATTTTTAACAACTTTAGCTAGATCGTTTAGCTATTTGATTTGATTTCATAGGAAATGAATCGAGACGGAACGTCGAGATTAATTTCCATGATTGACCCTTTTGTCGCCCCATGCGCTGATACCAGCCGGTGAAGTCCGAGTATTTATTCTGTAACTGTTTTATCGCATGACCATCACGACTTTTTTCTTCTCTCGTAATATTTGCTTTATTTAAACATATAAAGATTTTAAGAAATACCCACAGAAATACACCCATTAGATCTAGATGCTGTTGAAGGAACTGGACATAAATAACCATTCCACGAGGTAAGTTGATGCATTTTTTTCTGGATGCGAAATAATAGTCATCTTGCCAGCTCATTTTCAAAATATCCTGGTTGTACTATCTACCGGGAGTGTAAGCCTTATTAGGCCCACCATCATATAATACAGAAACAATCTTGGATAAAATAGTTATTTTCGGTAGAAGGTACCATTTTTTGACAAAAATAACAATCGTCCAAAAGAAATTTTAACTATATCAAAAAGATAGTTCTGTTAATAACCTCATATGAGTGGCAGCCATCTTTGTTTTTAAGTACTTAATACCAGGAATGACTTTTAAGCAATCAATAAAAAGTTAAAAACATATGTAAATGGTCCATTACTGTTAATGATACTAAAGTTCTATTCAATATTTATCAGTTACCAAACAGTAAAAGGGTAACAATTTGATAAGCATTGTACACACATTCAAAATATCATGTTGGGTCCAAATCGTTAGCAATATTACTAGTTTTTATACTTAAAACACATTTATGTGAATAGGGTTATTAAAACTTTGAATTTTCTTTAAAAAATGCTATATTTTGTATGAAATTAATGTGAAAAACACTTGCATACAAAAGAATTTTTTTATGTAAGTATTGTTTGTAATATCTGACATTCCCGGTACAAAGTACCTCCCGGTATAAAGTACCTTGAGGATATAATCTAGGAAATATTGGCGATAAGTATCCCGGTGTATATTTCAGAGGTATATCTTGTATGCGTACTTTTTAAAACTAACGACAATGTAGTGATTTTTACTTAAAGGCACATTATGATTATGCCTCAGAAATCTTTTTTTATTAAGTTCTTTAGAAATGTAAAACACATGTTTAAATGGATTTAGAACATGTAATATATTTAACAGCTGAAGAAAGTAGTGCTGAATGTGCAGTAATGTGTCGTAAAGGTAGCAAAATGTAAACAAATAGTATTTTGACTTCCATACAAAATACTAATTCATTATAATTATACCAATTGCCAGCAAAGCAAAAGATGCAAAGATAGTTCATTTATATTGCAAATAAGTATTTTTTATGGAACTTGTAACAAGACACCAAATATTTAAAATTTTGAGAAATAAAAATGATAGTATTTCTGACGCATAATGTGCCTTTAACACTACTTCCATCTATTAATAATTACGCTAGAATATTATGTTCATATACGTGTAGCGATTTACTGAGTGGCTTACTGGTCCGAATCTCCTGTAAAACGAAGGTATTGTTTAAAGTAAAAAAAAAAAGAATAATTTGATCATTGTTTCAGATTTATCCTCGAGGTCAGGATGCAGAAAATGGCGATTACTTTTATAATCTTTATAATAACTGCATTTTCAGATTTTGAAAAAAAAAGAAAAAAAGATCGAAATGATGTATAAATATTAAAAAAAAAGTCTGTAAACTGTGTAATGTTTTGTTTTGCTCTTTTTCAGGTATGCTCACTTTATTATTTGAAATAAAATAATAAACTGGGCATGCGCGAGAAAGTGTACTGATACCTCATTTAGAGCACCCCAAAGCGTACTGATACCTCATTTAGAGCACCCCAAAGTTTCCCAATACTGAAATTTAGAGAACGCCGATCTTCTAAGGAAAGTTGTGGCGGTCATGCGATAAAAACAAACACAGCAAGGTGATTTATTTGACACCTTTAATTTTTTATTTGATAGATATATTTACATTATTTGTAATAATTAGACTTTCGGCAAGTTAGCGATTGATCTAAAAATTAATGATTATCGGGGATTAACGATAACTGTTAAGGGCCGTAAACCATTAATTAACCCGACCATTAAACGCTGCCGAATTCAACAGAGAACGTTAATTGCCGATGCATGAAGAAAGCTATTGCCCAGGGGAATCGATAGTCGATAATTGGGAGGCTGTATATTGTAAACTTGTAAGTGTCAACGTTCCTGTGTATTATGTGTACCAGGTCAGAATATGTTTTACGATCGAGAGGTGAAATGTGCGAGATTTGATTTAAGAAAATTTTGCAAAATATCATAATTTTTTTTGCCGGGATCAAATCGATGCCCGGGATAT